GCCTCTCTCTCTCTGTCTCTCATGAATAAATAAATAAAATCTTTAAAAAAAAAAAAATAAGAAGGACTTCACTGTCAGAAAACGCAGAAGCATAGAAGTTGTTCAGGGACCGACCATTCCCTACTAACTGAAGCGGTGAGGAAAAATGGGGGGGGGGCGGCAGGGAAAGGACGAAAATAAAAGATTAAATTACCAATGGGCCAAATGAATGAACCTGAGAGCAAGTGATACAATTCTCAACACACACAACTGTGTTTATTCTAGGGAACCGCTCGGAAGTCTACTTGTCCCTGTAATCGCCTGGCTAATGGCAGTCTTTCCAGGAGACCTCAGCAACCTCACTCCTGGATAAAAGGTGCAAGGACCATGGCTTTTCACCTGGGTCCAACCCAGGCATAGCCAGCGTTTCGGGTCCAAAACAACACAACACCAATCCCTCCGCGGGTGGTGGGGGCTCTTCCAGCACCGCTGTTGGGAATGCCAAGTGCCTGGCCAGGACCTGTCCCAGTTTTCTTAACAACATATCCTCATGTTATCCCACGATGAAACTCGGGGCTCAGAAGGCAGTCTTACAGCGTCTTCATGCAAGCTCCGTTAGGGACGAGCGTGTCTGCACAATCAGCCCCCGGGGGCAACCACCCCCGTTGCCTGGTCACACACTTCCTGTCTCTTCCATCACCTCCACCCCACGACTTCAGTTTCCCACATCAGTTTAAAACTGTTAGCAGGGTCCCAGTCCCTGGGAGGAAAGGGGGGCGGGCGGCTTTCTACCCCCAAACCCTCACATTGGGACCTCAGAGAGAACCCAGGAAGAGGGAAAGCAGAAAGCGCTGGGTCCGCGAGCTGCACCCGCATTCCGCCGACGGCGGCCGACTACAAACTACTCAATGAAACCACAAGGATGGGGAGGAGAAAGGCGAGCACCCGGGCCGGGTGCCCCAAATTAATAGCTGGCGAGCGCTCGTCTTTGACATTTCCACCTTGCGGAGCGCTGGAGCTTTGGGTTCGGGAGCCGGCTTACCAGTCCCGGAGCCCGAGTGCACTTTTAGCCACTCGGATTCCCCAAACCCGGAGGGACGTCCCCAACCGGGAACTGCCGTCGCGGGAGTTGAGTGTTGACTGCGCCCGCGAGGGCAGCGGGAGCCGAACCCGGTGCCGGGAAGCGCGGGTACCCAGTGGCCAGGCGTCCGCCGTCCAACTTTGCGCAGGGCAGGGCCGCTCCCGCGAACTTCGCGGCAGCCGGGCGCGGACGGGGTGGGGCGAGCACTCACCAACCCCGTACTTCTGCCTCTTGGTCGGGATCCAGCGGGCCATGGCGGCGACCTCGCCCCGCCGCGACTGCGGCGGTGGCGCCGGCGGTGGCGGCTGCAGCTGCGGCGGCTACAGCTCCTGGGGCCCCGGCCGCCGCCGCGCTGCGCTCCTGCGCGCCCCGGGCTCCTCCGCCATGTTCCAGCAAACTTCGCCTACCCCGCGAGCCGTCTCCCCGCCGCGCCGCCCGCACGGGATTCGCTCCCTCTCGGCCCCGGCCCGCGGTCACCTGCTGGGCCCGGCGGCCGCGCCGCCGTGCGCGCCCCTCCCGGCACCGCCCCGGCCCCTCCCGCCGGCCGCGCCCTCCGCCCGCCGGGGCCGCCTCCGCGCCCCGACCCGCGGGCGCCCTGCCTCTCCCACCCGCCCTGGGGCTCTGCGCTCGCCCGGCTCCGCCTCGCGCACTTCCCGGGAGCGGCTTCCCAGGGCCGACTGGGCTCAGGTTTTTTCCTTTTAGTGTTTGGCGTTTTTCCCCGCCTTCCTCACCCGGATTAAACCCTCGAGGATGGATCCCGGGGCGGGGGGCGTCGGGAGGGCAGCGCTGGAGGCGCGGGGCACACCCAGGCGGGCTGCGGGCCGCGCGGGTGGGCGAGGAGTGCGGGGTCGCTCCCACTGCGCGCCGCGCCTCTGGGGGAACGAGTAGAAATTCTTAAGTTGTTTCTTGGCCCCGGGCACCCCGAGTGCCTGGCACTCAGCGGGCGCTTAATAAATATTTGTGGAATGAATGAGCAGTTGACTACCGCGTTCACCCCCTAGAGCTTTAACTGACACAGAGAGAACCGGAAGCCGAACTCCAGGGCAGACATGATCTCCCAGGGCCACCGTTTATAGCTTTCAAAGCAGGCTCATTTGTCTTCGGGTAAATAGAGACCTGATGCGAGGGAGACGTGCTCCTCAAGTGTCAGTTTCCTAGGGGAGCTCCGTTGGGAAAAATTCTTTAGAGAGCCTTAACTTGGAAATCCTGTACCCCCAAAACACCGGGACTCTTCCCCAGCTGGAGAAATGCAGACCCTTATGCTCCAGGAAAATTTCCCTCCAAGACCCCTCTTTTCCAAGAGACCAGCAGCCTAAAAAGCATCCCTGCGGAGAGGGGAATAGGGCACATCCTAGTCTTCTCTCCTTAACTGTCTGTATAGTTTTGGCCAACGGCCAAATGCAGGGACTGCTCTTTCGAACCGCATTAAGTTTCCTCTTTTTTGGAGCCCTCTGAAACCTCTCCTGGAACTCACTTCCTCCTGGAGAGACCTCGGGAATGAAGATGGGATTAGAGACACCTGAGTTGGGGGAGAGGGGAGGGACGTTTTGCTACCTCACCCATAGAAGTAAAATCTCAGAGTAAATGACCAGCCGATTTATGTTCACGGTTTGAGAAAATACCTCTCGAAATTAATTGTTTTGTCATTGCAGTCTATGAAATTTTCCTTGCCTATTTTGAACATGAAAGAAAGATAAACACGTAGTAAAAGGGAGTGAAACTTGATTGGAGAATTAGTGCATTGTAACTTTGGTAACTTTTGCAAAACGAGATCTGAAATTAAAAAAAAAAATAGGTCCTGTTCTAGGACTTACTCCTCAGGTTTACTTTCTTCTCCATCAAAAATAGGTATTTACTCACAGAGTGTAACCATAATTTAAGAATCTGTCACTTTCAGAAGGCATTCCACCATCTCCCTGAATATAATTTTTCTTTCTCTGCCAAAGACATCATGATTAACCTGATTTCCCAGGCTAGATAATCTCTTCTTCTTTCCACACATGTTAATTATGTGCCTATTAGGTGTCAGGCACTGTTCTAAGAATGGGTCACAGCAGTGAATACAGTAAAATCCCTACCCTCATAGAGCCTACAGTCTGGAAGAGGAGAGTAGAACAAAACAAATAAAGATATGCCAAATGAGGCTAAGAATGTAGAGATAAATCCGAAGCAGGGAGGATAAGATGTCTGGGGGTTGGGGGGCGGGGGCTGCTGCTGTTTTATATTATGTGGTCTGTGAAAGTGACATTGATGTATAGACCGGAAGGAAGTATGGATTCCAGGGGAAAGTATTCTGGACATCAGGAACGACAAATGCAGAGGCCTGGAGGCATGATTAACAGGTTCTCAAAACAACAAGGACTCCTGGTTGGTAAGAGATGAGTAAGGAGCAAACTTGGTCCAAGAGGCACAGGGTGGCCAGATAGAGTGGGACCCTGAAAGGCATAGTAAGGACTTACATATTACTACAGAAGACAAGGTTGGAGGGTTTTGAGCCAAGCTAGGACACAATCTAATTTGCTTGACTGTGAGTTGAATGGACTATAAAGGCCCAAGGGAAGACATAGTAATATTTCAGTAGTTAAAGCAAGAAATGAAAGTAGTTGGGTCCAGGATGGTGGGGAGAGATGGAAAAGAGGTTGGATTCTTGACATACACTGAAAGCAGAACCAACAGAAGTGCAGTGTGCACAGAGGGGAATTTACTGTGAGGCTTCTGGACGCTTTCATTAGCTTATGTTTTTGGAAAGTTTGCAAAGAAAAAGAAAATGTGTCTCTGTGTGTGTGTGTGTTTTTTCTTAAGATCTTTACTGTGTATGGTTCAGGCCCCAGAGACCTTGGATCTTGTCCCTGGGTGTGATAGACAAGATGGGTCAAGTTTGACTCTAAGGTTGGGGGCTTGAGTAACTGGCAAATATATCCAAGTTGTGCTGTATTGAAGTTTTCCTTTCTTATTTCTTTAGGACTTACTTTGTCATACCTTCCTCAGTGATGCCTCCACTGAAACATCAGGAGCTGAAACATTTGCATTATAGAATGGGAGCTTCACAAAGTTATTTTAATCACCTCTGTTTAAGGAAATTGTTTGACCAATGTTCTCTAACTACTGGTATACTCTGAATTCAATACACCTCAGGGTGTTCGTGCTCATCCAGTGGATATGGATTTCTACCAAAATCATTTCTACCAAAATCTGCCTTTTCTGGAATGTTTTCAGCTGCCACCCCCTACCACTTTTTGTAAAACTTGAGGTTTGAATTTGGGCACTGGATATTTCAAGTTTGACAATAGTTGCATTAAGAGGGTTGGAGGCAAATGGAAAATTTTAATTACAGCTTTCAGTATGTTTATTCTTTTTCCTCTGAAGACTGAAGTCCACCCACTTCATTATATCAGATGGTTAAATCCCAATTTGAAAGTCCATTTAAATCATAAAAGCAGAGCTATTCAATGTCTTTTATTAAAATTAGGCTTAAAATTAGAGAGTCAACTAGATGGGTAGGTGGAATAAGAGCATGATTCCCAGAAATATCACTTTCTTTTTCCTCTGATATCTTTTCAGAAGAAACAGTAAGCATATTCCACAACCAGAGATATTCAGAACTCCAAAACGAACACAAATATAAACACATTTATGCACATGCCAGCATTAGCATACTCTGTTTGAAGGTGTCTTAGAGAAAGAAATGAATATAAATGATTTTGGAGGCTAGTTTGACATGAAAATTGTGGCTATCCCTTACAATGCCTAAGAGAATAGATGGATGTGAGGATAACTGGCAAGAGCTTCACTTCCTCCATTGATTACCAGGTTTATTTTGCCAATCTGGCTGATTCGATTGCTTCTCTGAAAGAAGCTATGGATTCTGCTTAAAAAGCATCGCTTTTTAAGCATCGCTCTCTCTCTCTCTCTCTCCTTTTTTTTTCCTAGATAGAAGCAGCTCATTCTTGGAGCCTACATATGAGTGAGTGTAGTTGCCAGAATTCCCACCCCGCCAAAAAAGAGGAAAAATGTAATTGGCTCTAACCACCCCTTTAAGGGCAAATGCTTTAGGACAAGGGGGTTGTATGTAGGTCAGGTGCTGGGCAATGCATTGTCATTTGGGACCCGTGAGCCATACAGGACAAAGGAACAGACCTCCGCACCCCTAGAAGCACTTTTTTTTATATATATACCCCACAAACTCACATCACTGTCCACTCTCTGCCCCCCAAATGATTTGTCTGGTGAGGATCTTTGGGTCTGTTCTTGCCTCTGCCACGCGGCGTTATAGGTCCCGTTTCTCTGATGAGCGGGAAATAATGGTCCGTGCTCTAATGCCAGTCATCCTCATTCCCCATGGCTGCTAGATTTATGCTTGGGAAGCACTTTCACCCTCTTCACGAATGCAGCAAAAAGCTTTTAGTTTTGTTTCGAGAATGCTCACTGCTGCCAATATCAAAATGTGCTTCAGGATCACCTTTGGGAGAAACCAATGACATAAGCAATTCAAAGTCATCAGTTTGATGAGAATTGGATCACTATTCACGTGAGAAGCAATGAACACCACTTGAGCTTTCAAAACTTTGTTTATTGACATATCTTGAAAAGTTCCTATATGTGTTGAGAATTTGTCTTCCTTAAACTCTTTAAAACAAGAGATGATAGGAACTAAGAAGCAATGTGGAAAATTATAATGTCAGCTTAAGTAAAAATAATTAAATTGTATATGCCATAATAAAACTATATAAAATTATATTTTAAATGGAAAATGACTACAGAGGAACATTAAAAAATGTCAAGTTTTGGGACACCTAGGTGGCTCAATCAGTTAAGTATCTGCCTCCGGCTCAGGTCATGATTCTAGAGTTCTGGGATCAAGTCCCTCATCGGGCTTCTTGCTCAGCAGGGAGCCTGCTTCTCCCTCTGCCTGCCGCTCCCCCTGCTTGTGCTCCGTCTCTCTCTTTCTCTGACAAATTAAAAAAAATTTTAAAAATTTTTTTGAAATAAAAATTGGGACGCCTGGGTGGCTCAGTCGGTTAAGCGGCTGCCTTCGGCCCGGGTCATGATCCCAGGGTCCTGGGATCGAGTCCCACATTAGCCTCCTTACTCAGTGGGGAACCTGCTTCTCCTTCTCTCTCCCTCTAGAGGCTTGTGCTCTCTCTGTCAACTAAATAAAATCTAAAAAAAAAATAAAATAAAATAAAAATAAAGAATTTTTTTAAAAAATGGAAAATTTTATTCAACCTTCTTCAAAATAAAATAAACAAAAGAACACTTCTTGGTTGCTGAGATTCC